AGCTTTGTAATATAGTCATATACTGATATAGGACCTTTTACACTCCTTGATAGCTTTGTAATATAGTCATACACTCATATAGGACCGTTTACACTCCGTGATAGTTTTTTCATACTGTCATAGGGCCGTTTACACTTCGTGATAGTCATAGAGCTGTTTACACTCCGTGATAGCTTTGTAATATATAGTCATACACTCATATAGGGCCGTTAACACTCGTGATAGCTTTGTAATACTGTCATAGGGCCGTTTATACTCGTGATAGCTTTGTGATACTGTCATAGGACCGTTTACACTCCGTGATAGCTTTGTAATATAGTCATACACTCATATAGGGCCGTTTACACTCGTGTAGCTTTGTAATACTGTCATAGGGCCGTTTACACTCGTATAGCTTTGTAATACTGTCATAGGGCCGTTTACACTCCGTGACAGTCATAGGGCCGTTTACACTCCGTGACAGTCATATGACCGTTTACACTACGTGATAGCTTTGTAATATAGCCATACACTCATATAGGACCTTTTACACTCGTGATAACTTTGTAATACTGCCATGGGGCCGTTTACACTCCGTGATAGATTTGTAATACAGTCATAGGACCGTTTACGCTCCTAATAACTTAAACTATGCATTAATATGTATGTTGGCGGGGATTTGAATGTGTGCATATATTTATAAAGCAGTTTTTATTAATACACAGATCATATACCGTGCATGGGGTTTATACGTTGATTATCAAAGTCAAAGCAAAGTTGGATATCGAAGCATTCGCCATCAAAAGGAAAATTGATTTTTTTTATGATTGAAGGTTTATATCAAATAACATGTTGAGAATGAATTAATTCAATAAAAAAAAAAAGAAATTATGGTAGAAGGTACGTTTTAGGAAACTTTCGAAATTAAGCTTGGGTTGATGAAATGTCGCCAGATACATGGTATGAATTAATTCGATTGATGCCTATGTAAAAAATGCAATGGGTATACAAAGATGTTTTTGATAATCAATATAGATTTTCGGAATCGCGTTTGCATATATGCAAAATAATAAACTGTGATGAACTTTTTAGAAAGAAAGATACCAGTGCTCAGGCCGCTAAAGTGTCACACTTAAGTCGATATCGTCATTAAAATGATATTGAAGTGGTAATCTACAACACTTAACTCGATATCGTCATTGAAATGATATTGAAGTGGTAATCTATAATACTTAACACGATATCGTCATTGAAATGATATTGAAGTGGTAATCTACAACACTTAACTCGATATCATCATTGAAATGATATTGAATTGGTAATCTATAATACTTAACACGATATCGTCATTGAAATGATATTGAAGTGGTAATCTATAACACTTAACTCGATATCGTCATGGAAGTGATATTGAAGTGGTAATCTACAACACTTAACTTGATATCGTCAGTGAAATGATATTGAAGTGGTAATCTACAACACTTAACTTGATATCGTCATTGAAATGATATTGAAGTGGTAATCTACAACACTTAACTCGATGTCATCATTGAAATGATATTGAAGTGGTAATCTCGATGACGTTTGTCGCCTGACGGATATAGTACAGTAACCATAGAAAATACAACCAACTGTAATCGTATCTTAACAAATATATTATCCGAGATATGCTTCCCCGCATCTTTGTAATATATAAGAAAATTTATTTCATACTCTCATAATTGTTGATAAAATGCGTTTCAATCCCTCCATACTACAGTAAGTCGGTCAAGGCTCACAATTTGACATTTACAAAGTAGTTTACAAAAGATATAATTTGACACTCACACACTTGTACATTGCTGTCGCGGGGATTACTCTTTAGTACGAAAGTGTCAAATGCTGGTTGACCCATAATCATTCCAGCCCTTAGGGAATATGTTCACACAAAGCTGTTAATCAGGTTTGAAATTGAAATTATGTAGCGAACTTTTATCGCCTACGTCGGTATAACATGGAAGTTTGCTACATTAGCATAAATTTGTATATCGATATATGTATCTTCTAGCGTGATGCCGTACGATGGTATTATTATGTCAGTTGGGGACATCGAGAGGTACCCAAACAAAATAACTAAACTTCTCTCAACATGTCTGTTTTAACCTTTTTTTCCATCTCCTTCCATGGAAAGTTCAAAATTACGGCAAGGAACACTGATTTAGTACCTCGTGAGTTGTTTCCCTTCCCATCCAGCGTGTCACCTATACTACACTTACAGAACATGCGTTAACTTAAGGCGTAGCTTAAATTGAAGGGCACCACTGCATCAGTAATAATCGATTATGAACATTCCTTCTTTTTATATAAATAGAGTACTTAGAGCGACAACCTTTTACTTCCTTTTCAATGATTCAGTGCATGTATTTTCCCGGAATAGTAGTATTACGGTATAAGCATTGGTTACACCAGAGCGTGTCGCCCCGTACTTTTCCTTTTTCTTTCCTTCTATTTCTATAATTATATACGATGCATTACCAACGAATGCAATTCTCTTAATGATACTTGCGTCTAAAGAAATATCCGCCTGTTAAGCGTAATTTTTTTGATAAGAAAGCCTGTTAGAGAAAAAGAAAAAAGATATTAGCCGAGTTTCCATGTATCTATAACTATGTGTTTGAGTAGTAGTATATCGGTGACACTGCTTTAAACATATACAGACAGATTACTTAAAGAACTTAATCATTGCAGCAACATCAGTTTGTGATTTAGCTGTGGAGATCGTTCAAAGGGAGGTAACTAGAAACCCTCGATAATCTTTTTTACATGACACTGGAATATACTATAAAGGGCCCGATTATAAATACATGAAATCATCGTTTTATTTGGGGATAAGGGGTGAGCGGAGCAAGATATTAGACAAAAGTTATATTTCATTTCATGCAGACAATGACGATAGATATATGAAATGAGAAGTAAAAAAAAAGCACAAAGCGGGTGCCCTAGCCGGTCGCCATTTAGTTCGTTCGTACATTGTATCTAAGCCTAAAACTAATTCGTGTTTTGTAGAAACTTCATTATTAACAAATTTGAAACAATCAGTCATTCATTTTACGCTTTATGACGCGATGTATTTCAACACGATCTACAACAGCTCAACCGAGAGAGGATCTCTTCAGAGGAATCGCTACAATAACACATCGAGCATGCCTCTTCTACATGTACATCTCTATGAAATAAAGACCAGTATTGTATTGAGAAAAATCGTACCTCCGCTTGACTGAAATTATTCTATTCTCGTAAGTCTACAATTGAAATTATGGATATTTTCCTTGGCTAGTTCTGACCGATTAAGTTTCTTATAAAACGTACAAATATACAAATATACAAATGTACATATACCAGCAATGCCAATGTCAGACCGCACACATTTCTCCGGCCTTTTCATTACAGGGTCATGTATAAAATCATGGCACGGTGTTAATGGACAACACCACTTTATCTGTGTCGCCATTCAATCCACATAACCTGACATGTAGCACTACGTACGTGTGTACAACTGTAGATAAACAGCGCTAGCGATTTAATGGGCTGGCTTTATATAATGACCGTGTTCCCGTACAAACCATAGCTATAGTCATGTTAATGTGTTTAAAAAGCATTGTTGGTGTATATGGAAAGCTAATTATCTAAAGGATTGGTACCATATATTTATATTTATTTTTCTAAACAAGGAGAAGTATAAAGACCCATGGTGTGCAAGTAGGCAGTTATTAGAATATATATTGTATTACTAGTATATAGAGACGTGGCCTAACCCGATACTACCAGTGAACTGGGCTGAGGTTAATCCTAGATACTCATTCAGAGTTAAGCCTGCACTTACATTGTATATTGGCTATACAAACTGGTTAACCATATTTTAATGTTTTGATGAGTTGCAACCAGATGAAAACCCTGCAAACATAAATTCAGCGGGCTACACTACTGCATTCGTGACAGCGGAACAACAAACGTTTGGTAGTACATGTAAATAGCATATCACACTGAGTCCAGCTAAACGTAATTACCTCGAATAAAGGTAGCCTGGTCGTCAATATTGACATTTAACTCCTTCGCCTGACCAATTCGTGTTCATTGTTCCGTTGCAATATTTCGATCTTGTTGGCGTCGTGATTGCGTTTCGTTTGTATTGTGTATCGGTGTTTTTGGGTGAGCAACTGAATGAGGGACATTGATACAGTGAAAAGTAATGTATTTTGAAATGATGTGATCAGTCTCCATGAATGAATTACACTACATCAAACTATGTTATTCATTTTTGACAGAAAATTTCACAGTTTTAAAGTAAGTACATATGCATACATTTGAGGGGAATATATATGACAGACGATGTGCAGTTAGTTGAACATTTTTCTGCTTGACGTGTTTGAAGGGGCAGAGTAGCAATACTTGATCAACACTTTTCACTTTGACATATTCAAAGTGACAGAATTGTGGTATTTGTTGGATATTTTTCAGTTGAACGTATGGGAGGGGCAGAATTTTGGTATCTGTTGAACGTGTCCATAGTTTTCCATATTGTTTCAGTAGGATGTGCTTTCAAAAATCTGAACGGCCACTCACCTTTTAGTAGATGTAGCATGGCAATATCTGGGTTATATATGAATATTCTTTGGGGTGAGTTAATATGGTTTGGGTTTCGGTAAAATTTCACTTTGTTTTGTGTAACGTCCGCTAATCGTCTTAAGTCAAACGAAGACGACAAATCCTAGGTAGAGTTTTACTTACACTGACGACTGATGGTATCGTAAGTCTTAAAGATGGAAATGATCTATAGTTGTAAATACAGAAAACAGTTTTTTAACAGTAGCATTTTAACTTGATTTGCCTGTCTTATTGCATGTTGACTGTATGTATTTAATTATGAATCGGTAAGAAAATGGGCAGTACGTTTCCGAGTTAAATTGATAGTGTTTGAATAAAAAATACGGATTGATGAAGAACAGAGCATTATAATATTAACACTCAAGTAGGAGAGGTAATAATAATAATATCATGTTTTTATTCTAAATCAAATATGTAATACATAAATCATGAAATACACCTGTTGAAATGCAAACCGTAAATGGTTCTTAACATGGAAACCACAAAAGCAGAAACAAACGTGGTTCGGAGAACCAATCAGCGTCAAGTATTGTTACAGCCAGTAGCATGTGCTGTACAGAAGTGTTTTCTCTCACAGGCACACATTTAAATATTTCTCACATAATAAATTGGACTGTTTTATTTTCTATTATTGTAACGAGTCGTTAACTCTAAAAAATAAAACACATATCAGCCACTCCTTGTTTGCGACTGTCTGTAGAAAGTATTGAAATTTGCCACTATCACCGGAACTGGTAGAGCTATAGACAAAATTCCACTTATAACTGTCATGCTTCCAACTATTTTACCAAAGGCTCCACATGGATACATGTCTCCATATCCGACCGTCGTCATGGATACAATAGACCACCAGAAAGCATCAGGGATGCTTTTAAACTGCGAATTCGGCTGAGGCAGTTCCGCATAGAACATCGCACCGGAAGATATGATTATCCCGATACCGAGAAACAAAGCAAACATGACCAGCTCACTAATACTAGTCTGCATTGTCTTTCCGAGTATCTGGAGTCCGACCGAGTGCTTGCTGAGTTTGAGTATCCGTGACACCCTCAGTACTCGCAGCACCGACAGGAAACCACTCTTAGACTGACCGCATTCGTGGGAGATCAGATACAGACCCATTGACAAAAAGAATGGCATTATTGATGCAAAATCTATCCAATTTACTAAGTCTTTAAGGAAGCGTTTCTTAGAAGGGCTCGAGAGCAGACGACACACAAGTTCTATTGAGAACCAACATATGCAAACTGCTTCTATTAAAAACAACGGATGCTCGTAGTTTGGTATCTTCGCTACCACCACACTGCTGCTGTTGTCTGAACTATTCGCCATGACAGTGATGCACTCCGTGCCATGAAAGTCCGGCAGTGTTTCTACACAGAAGGTGGTTACCGATACTAGAATAACAATTACTGACAAGATGGCTAAGACTCTGGCTGGCACGGAGCTGTCAGGGTACTCGAATAGCTCCCATACCTTCCGCTGAAACGGTTGTTCTGGCAACTCAGGAGCTTCAGTGTTACTAACTATATATCCTTCCTCTACTTTATACGTTTTCAAGACAGATTTACCAAGTTCAAAAAACTGCATTTCGCTGAGGAATATATCGGAAGGAACCTCCATAGGACGTTTCAGTCTACCTCCGCTCTGATAGAAATACAGGATAGCTGGGAAGCTAGGTCGATGGCGATCAAAGAAAAATTCTTCCCGTTTTGAGTCCCAGTATTTCTTCCGTTTTGTAGGGTCACCAAGTAATGTGTGTGGTAGCCTATTGAGAGTACGGAGTTGGGTTTCAAACTTGAGTCCACTGACGTTGATTGTGATACGTCTGCAGCCCTCTGCGTCGCATTCATGTCCATACGCTAAGGCTTCCTCCGAAACAAACGCTTGCTGCATGTCTTGAACACCTCCATCATCCTCATCTTCTGAAACTCCACAGGATACGCCTGGAAGTCGGGAATGGGAACTAAAAAGATCCTTCCAATTGGAGTCGGTCGAGGAGGACCGGAAATGAGTCTTCTCGTGGTGATTAGAAGGCGGTTGTAGATAACCTCTCCCATCTCCTACCGTGTTTTGATTAATAATATGCATGATATGATATCAGAAGGTCACTTACTTTAAAAGCCCACCATTATGCGAGGTGACACTGTTCCGATTGCTTCTCCCATTGACTGATCAGAAGTCAAACATTCCAACACAAGGCTCAATAGAATATCAACATATACTCAAACATAGGCACTCCATCGTTCTACGTTTGACATATTACATGTGTGTTGTCGCTGCCTTCCTTTGAACACTCAAGATTAAATCCATTGTTAAACTTTCAATTGTCACTGAGGCATTTAAATAGACGCCTTTTGTTAGTTTAAATCAGCTCCACAGAGGCGTGTACTGTTGCACGTTACGCTACAGTGGTATTTACAGACTGTAAAAATGACCTGTCCATCTTGAACGATTGCTGAGATCCGTATGCGTTTAACTGCACAGTCTTCAGTATAACAGATCACGAGGAGACATTCTGGTCGGAACTTGCATGTCCGTATTCCTTCTATTCCTTCTCCCGAGTGCAACTTCGAATAACTTAACTCAGTGTATTGGCACAACTCCACTGAACTTTAATGGCATTGAAAGGAAGGTATATATATATATATATATATATATATTACCTGTATTTGCGAAAGTGTGTAATAGCTCTGCCGACTCACTGACCCCGATCCACTCATACAGGTGTAGTGAAAGACCTTGTGGTTTAAACCTTGGGGACATAAGAAGGTGTTCGCTTCTTGATACAAGTATATAGGTACTTTACTGTCACAAGACTCGCGAAATTGAACGAGTTCTAAGCTTTACAAATATTATTGTCTTCTGTTGTACAGCTAACTTACAATGTACTTTTGTACGATTTGATAACAGACGCTTTTAGATTGAATATGGTGAAAGCTTTAACCATGTTTCTCGGCTCGATGATAAACGATTATTGTACACACAGAATGTTCTGGGGCATGGCAGTTATAGTAATCACGTATAGATATATTATATATATATATCACGCGTAGGATTATAGCCTAATAAATCCAGGTATCTCGGCAAATCACTGATACACCTTAGGAATTTGACGTCATTTAATTCTAAAGATTTAATTTTTACACTTGCAACCATGAACTTTCGGCTGATATGTATGCACTCGACGTTTATTGGGCTTTGACGAACCTCTAAACCTCCCAATCCCGTGAGACAGGGACACCAATCGTCTTACTGGCTGGGTAACATACACAGTCAGGTAACGTATTAATTCACCAACAACAATTGCTAATTATATTGTCATCCGGACACCTTGAACCAGTACATGCGAATAAAAACATTTTCGGATTGTGTGTCTTTGAAAAGACAGGATATCTCGCTGTAAGAATATCATCATACTCGATATGTATTTGATATTTTTTTTCTAAACACCACCCTAATGAGGTGACAGATAGGATTGGTTGAGTACCTTAACTATGAGTGTACATTGTACATACTGGAATGTTTTTTGTCTTCTGGGAATGTTTTTTGAAAAAAATATTACAAATGAAATACTGCAACGCACGAAATTGTAATTATAAATATTATATAGTCGATAAGTTTCTTTCTGAAAACTCTTTCATGCAAATTGATTCCCTAATTATTGACGACCTTCGTGAAAAACAACTATCAAAGATACATTCCTGTAAAACCTTGTGTTGATAAACAGTGGGGTTTAGCCCTCGCATCAGCACATATATTTTGATGCATACAGATGCTATCTGACTGAAACATGTAAAGACATGGACAGGGTACAGGTAGCTAAACATCACATCCCCGTCACATTGTCCTGACAACGGGCTAACGAGAGACGCTTCAGATAGAAAACAGAGAAGAGAGAGAGGAAAGCAGAGAAGAGAGAGAGAAGAAAGCAGAGAAGAGAGAACTGAAGTAAGTTACAGGAGGTAGAGTATATGCAAGACGTCCCATTTTCGTTGATTCCTATAAGCATGTATGTGTATACAGCACTTAGGCAGGAGTTTTATTACGTTTTTGAACCGAATAGTCGGTCAAATGTTTTTCTTTATGATACTATTGGGGGCGATCCGTTTCTGAATTACCATTATTAGCATTTAAATTTGAAAAAGACGGCTACATGTAGCATTAGTCATCTGAATATCGCTATAAAACAAGCACAAAGAGAAACACGTAGATAATTGAAAAATCAGAAAGGACCGCGTTGCGATTGGCACATTTCATGACTCATGCATTTCGGTAACAAATTATTGTTCCATTGTATGCTTTATGTCTTTATTACTGTACTTATGGTGATAACCATGGTATGTTCATATCCATAGTTTACATAACGAGAAAGGGAATTTGATAAGAAACAACGAATGTTTGTCTTTACAGGATGGTGCAGGCCTTTCTTTAGATTTTGTCAATATCTCGTATAAAATTATGTTCTTTCCAATGCATGTTTTAGACTATTCAACTACTTTACTCATTTTGGGTGTTTTATATATTGGAGGGTGCTTTGCCATTGAATACATATTTCTGAAGACTATCAAGGAAAGGTAGGATTACTTTGAAATTCAGCCTGTTAGGTTGTGTAAATATGGTGCCTAATAGATACTTTTTCTTCGCCATCTACTATATACATTATTGTCTCGTTTTATAGTTATTGGATTTACCTTCATATCTCTTCATTGGCATTTTAAGTGTTAAGGCTCTCATTTCTGATGGCAGCATGTATAAAATGCTATTAGAATATGAACAATTGTGGAGACAAAGCCTAGAAATTATATGAAAATATTAGCATGGAAAGTTGTGTTTGAGGAGAGTCTTGAAGTAGAGTTTAAGTAGAATCTTAAAGTTGAGTTTGAAGAAAATCTTTACGTTCTTTTTGATGAGATTCTGAAAGTTGCGTTAGGAGAGAGTCTGGAAGGTTCACTTGAAGAGAGTTTGGAAGTTGTGTTTGAAGATAGTCTGGAAGGTGTATTGGAAGAGAGTCAGGAAGTTGTATTCAAAGGGACACTGAAGGTTGTGTTTGAGAAGAGTCTGTAAGTTTTTCGTGAATAGTGGAATCATGGAAAAGAAACGTAAAGTGTGACGAGCAAACCATTTCATGAACCTGTGATCCAACTATTGCTGATTTTACATAATGAAGACAATTGACAATAAAATCATTACAAGAGTGAGGAATCGTATTACATCATATCAGTATTCTTCCACAAATGACGATTATGTAGCATTGTAATACAAGCATACTGTAACTGGCATGGGATGGTGAAGTAAGGAAGGCCAATCATAATACAACTACAGTTGGGAGCAAACTTAACTTGGTTTCTAGTGCACTTTGTAGTGAACAAGGAAGTGCACCTGACAAAAAATTGAAGTGCACTCCAGTTCACTACGATGTTAACTCCACTGCACTACTAATTTAACTCCAGTGCACAACGATGTGAACTCCAGTGCACAACGATGTGAACTCCAGTGCACTACGATGTGAACTCTAGTGCACTACAGTACTAGTGATTCCCAAAGTTTAAAAGACTGCAGTACATATTTCAATAATTGTTTATAATGAAATGGGTTCCTTTGTGATATGAAAATTGAAAGCTAAAGGAAAAAAACATTCAACTGAATATTTCAAAATATCGAATCAACGATGGACATTTTTTGTATTGCTTAAAATTGAACATATAGGTAGCAGTGTACAGTAGAGGGTTGTGGCCATGGGTGATATTTTTGTTAAATGGCTAACCCCTGTATAATGATATGTAAAAAAAAATATAAAAATAAAATTGCACTAAAATTGGTATAAGCATGATGAAGTTGGCTATGTGAGCTTCACATTTGTAAAAAAGAAAGAAGATTTCTTTGGTTCGAGAATAACATTTTGGTCATAATACGAAAGGGTGCGTACACATGAAAAGCTAGCTTTACAGGAGGTAAAATTTTGACAACAGCACACGACGCAAAATTGCAAAAAATCAAGTTTTACAATTTTACTGGGACCCAGATAATTCTGCAACCAGGTAGGTAATCTTTAATTTCAGACAGAGCTTAGGAAAAAAATTACTACTTGCGGGGGTCAAATTTTGGGTTAAAAATAGCATTTTTTGGCATTTTTTTGGTAATTTTTGATGTGGTAACCATGGTTTTCACACAAGTGACATACATAGAAAAAGAGGTTTATACACTTCTCAGTGCTTAATATGTATTGTAAATGTAATGCAGTTCATAAATATATATACATGTATACATGTGTTGTGTAGGGTAAATCCGCTGTGTTTACATTTCCTCGACATGTGCCTTGTTTATCAGAGTCGGGCCATTTCTACTGTATTCTGCTACCATATACACATAGAACTTGATTTTTTCTGAAAAAATCCCTTTTTATGCTTGATTCAGCTTCACTTTCATTCATTAATACTTAAAACTACTCAAAAACGCCAAAAAACCCGTTACATAGATAGGTCTATATATAGGTCATTAGCCTGTTACCTGTGGATGTATAAAGAGAGGTAACTCGCGCTTTCACAGGCACTTGTGAAATTCTGCAATTCATCACATATGTGTCAATTATGTTATTGGTAAAGTTGATACCAAACATCAAATAGTTCACAGGCTATCTCCTGATGCATTCATACTAGATTTCAGTCTGTTTCACTCAGTTCAGCACCCGGTAGCCATGGTTACTAATACATAAAGTTGTATTTATTGAAAATGGGTAAAAATGGGTAAAATATCTGTTTTCATTTTAATTACACTATTTTAGATGTTTTTTTCCACTTGATTCAGCATACAGATGAAATAAGCAAAGTCAGTAATGTCAATAAATTTTATTTCCATAATTACAGCTGAAGAAAATCTTTTTTTTCTAGCGAAATATGTTAAATGAACAATTTCTGAGGGTCACTGTCAATTCTAGGCGAGGAAAGTAAATAACGGTTGCTATGGTGGCACTTGTCTGATTTCTCAGAATATCTTACATTTCTGTGCTGTTCATCGGTTACGGGAAGTGTGTCTGTTGCTAGTTTGTTGTTGAGATGGGTTTCCTAGTGTTCAATATTTTGATATCAGTGATCCTCGATGATGTCATAGATGCCCATTGATGACGTCATAGTTATGATGACATCACAGTTACTATGACGTCATCAAACAAGACAGTAACATCATAGTATCACTGTACTGTTTGTTTTCTACATGCACATGATCTCAAGGCATCATATTTCACCCAAAAAGAAATTTTATTCATGAAAACTACAAACCTATTCAAGTTTTCATTTTTCAGATTACCTCCCTTTGTTGGTAGTTTGAGAGCAGAATTGGTAAATACACTTTTCAGGAGAATTCATATTACTCGGTCACTATTAAAGTGAGAAAGGAAACGGATACATCATTGTGTTCATTGTCGCATTTTCCAGACATTTAAAAGGTTTTGATTAAATTTTGGGGAAAAAAAAGTGATGTATAAGGTAGCAGAGTACAGTAGAGGGTTGTGGCCATGGGTGATATTTTTGTTAAATGGCTAACCCCTGTATAATGATATGTAAAAAAAATATAAAAATAAAACTGTACTAAAATTGGTATAAGC